TGTCACTCAAGACAATTAAGACTGGCAAAAAGGTTTGCTTACAGCACTTGCACGTTTTACCACACTCATATATTTATCGAGGAAATAGAGATGAATTTGGAACAGAGCTGGGCATAGCAAGGAACCATGAAGAGCCTAGGAAATAGTACCACCCCAATCTATTGAGACAGAAGGATGGTGGAACATGCTGGAATACACTTCTAACAAGTGTGTTCCTCCTCCTGGGTTCTCTCTGTTTAGAAAACCACCAAGCCCAGGAGCCCAGGCAGCTGCCTCTGAAAGGCTGTGTTGGGCCTGCTGCAACAGAGCCAATTTGCCAGGCATGGCTGGCTGCTCCCTCACCCACGCTTCCTCCTTGGGGCCTGCTCCCCATCCTAGCACAGATGCATTACCAGGTGTTCAAATCGTGGTACAGCACTTTGCAGATACGGGGTAGAGACAGAAATGGACCTTAAGACTTCACTAGTTTACAGGTTCCTAAGTCCAGATTTCTTTAAAGAAAGAAAAGGTGAAAGGCCAGGCACGGTGGCTCACACATGTAATCCCAGCTCTTTGGGAGGCCAAGGCAGGCAGATGACCTGAGGTCGGGAGTTTGAGACCAGCCTGACCAACATGGTAAAACCCCATCTCTACTAAAAATACAAAATTAGCCAGGCTTGGTAGCACAGGCCTGTAGTCCCAGCTACTTGGGAGGCTGAGGCAGGAGAATTGCTTGAACCCAGGAGGTGGAGGTTGTGGTGAGCGGAGATTGCACCTTAGGACTCCAGCCTGGGAAGCAAGAGGAAAATTCTGTCTCAAATAAAAAAAAAGTCCGGGCATGGTGGCTCATGCATGTAATCCCAGCACTTTGGGAGGGCGAGGTGGCCAGATCACGAGGTCAAGAGATGGAGACCATCCTGGCCAACATGGTGAAACCCCATCTCTACTAAAAACACAAAAATTAGCTGGGCGTGGTGGGGCGCACCTGTAGTCCCAGCGACTCAGGAGGTTGAGGAAGGAGAATCGCTTGAACCTGGGAAGCAGAGGTTGCAGTGAGCTGAGATCACGCCACTGCACGCCAGCCTGGGCAAACAGAGCAAGACTCAGTCACCATTGCTTTTTTTTTTTTTTTGAGACAGGGTCTCACTCTTGTTACCCAGGCTGGCGTGCAGTGATGCAATCTCAGCTCACTGCAACCTCTGCCTCCCAGGTTCAAGCAATTCTCATGCCTCAGGTTCCCGAGTAGCTGGAATTACAGGTGTCCAGCTAATTCTTGTATTTTTTTGTAGAGATGGGGTTTTGCCATGTTGGCCAGGTTGGTCTCGAACTCCTGGCCTCAAGCGATATACCTGCCTTGGCCTCCCACAGTATTGCTTTCTATAAATAGTGACTGCATTCCACATCCAGCTGCAGAGGAGGAACGTTCCTCTGTTCACTTCACCTCCCTATGGCAACCATGGCCCGCAGCCTTACGGGCCTAGGCATGGTTGGCTGAGCAGGAAAGGCCAGGCATGGTGGACTGAGCCATGGACCTCCCCTGGACCTCTCCTGCCTCCGGCAGTCCCTGCAGCAAGGGGTCCTGGGTACCTGCCCCTGAGCAGAGAGGTTTATAAAGTGCCTGGTGTTTGGGAAATGCCCCTCGAGACGGTGTGGCGCAGCACCCCCAACCCCCAGCATTCTGAACCACTGCCACATGCTAAAGGCCACCCAATGCAGTCACGGAGAGGTCACACCAGTACCTTCGATTCCTATCTGTGAGTAGGTCCTCAAGGCTTCCTCTGCTCCCAGTCGGACAACCCATTGGCTGGGACAGTACTGATTCTCCAGCTCCTGCAGGACACAAACATGAGGCTCTGTAAGACTTTCCTTCTCAACAGAGCGTGCCCCTCCCCCTTGCCCATGCCTGGCTGCTCCTCTCTGCCTTAGAAGCCCCCTCCCCAGTATTCCAGGTCTCCAGGATGCCCTTGGATCCATGGTCTAGAGGTATACCAGCGACCGCTGTGCCTTTAGCCAACTGGCAGCCTTAAGGGGATATGAGGTCCCCCAAACGAATCCAGTTAATGCCATCATGGGCACCACTCCCACAGCAGTTATGACCACGGGAGGCCAGGTGGCCCGATGGTTCACACCTGTAATCCCAGCACTTTGGGAGGCTGAGGTGGGTGGATCACCTGAAGTCAGGAGTTTGAGACCAGCCTAGCCAACATGGCAAAACACCGTCTCTACTGAAAATACAAAAATTAGCTGAGCGTGGTGGCGGGCGCTTGTAATCTCAGCTACTCGGGAGGCTGAGGCAGGAGAATCGATGGAACCCGGGAGGCGGAAGTTGCAGTGAGTGAGCTGAGATCCCACCATTGCACTCTAGCCCGGGTAACAACAGCGAGACTCCATCTCAAAAAAAAAAAAAAAAGTAACAAGGAACCAGAATTTGAAGAAAGGGCTCAAAGCCATCATGAGAAATGGGAAGTCAGGGCAGCCTCACGGAAAGGCCTGAGGTCAAATGCCATATAACCTCCCTCATTTACTTACTGTTTCATCCTGAACAAGTTACTTAGTCTCTGGGATTCAGTTCCCTTACTGGTAGAAGGCATCTATCCAGGCCGGATACGGTGGCTCACACCTGTAATCCCAGCACTTTGTGAGGCCGAGGCGGGTGGATCACTTGAGGCCAGGAGTTCAAGACCAGTCTGTCCAACACGGCAAAACCCCGTCTCTATTAAAAATACAAAAATTGGGCCAGGCGCGGTGACTCACGCCTGTAATCCCAGCACTTTGGGAGGCCGAGGCAGGCAGATCACAAGGTCAGGAGATCGAGACCATCCTGGCTAATATGCTGAAACCCCGTCTCTACTAAAATTACAAAAACATTAGCCAGGCGTGGTAGCAGATGCCTGTAATCCCAGCTACTCAGGAGGCTGAGGCGGGAGAATGGCGTGAACCTGGGAGGCAGAGTTTGCAGTGAGTCAAGATTGCGCCACTGCACTCCAGCCTGGGCAACAGAGCGAGACTCCGTCTCCAAAAAAAAAAAAAAAAATTAGCTGGGCGCGGTGGCTCACGTCTGTAATCCTAGCACTTTGGGAGGCCGACGCGGGCGGATCACAAGGTCAGGAGATCGAGACCATCCTGGCTAACACAGTTAAACCCCCATCTCTACTAAAATTACAAAAAAAATAGCCGGGTGTGGTTGTGGGTGCCTGTAGTCCCAGCTACTCGGGAGGCTGAGGCAGGAGAATCGCTTGAACCCGGGAGGTGGAGGTTGCAGTGAGCCGAGATCAGGCCACTGCACTCCAGCCTGGGCGACAGAGCGAGACTCCGTCTCAAAAAAAAAAAACCAAAAAAACAAAAATTAGCCAGGCGTGTAGTCCCAGCTACAGCGCGCCTGTAATCCCAGCTACTCGGGAGGCTGAGTCAGGAGAAACACTTGAACCCGAGAGGTAGAGGTTGCAGTGAGCCAAGATCATGCCACTGCACTCCAGCCTGGGTGACAAAACGAGACTGTGTCTAAAAAAAAAAAAAAAAAAAAAAGAAGGCATCTATCCAAATCACAAGGTTAAAAGAGATAAGGCATGTGAGTGAAATAAAGCCAGTTACTCAATGTAGGTTGCTTCTTCCTACCAGTGAAGGGGTCCTTGTAAGAGATCCTTGGATCTGTCCAATCAGTACCTGGAAACGTTATTCCCTGTAGGATCCTTACAGCCACACATGGCACACTCTGTGATCACTACCACCATCTTTGTTGCTATTATTTATTTTATTTTATTTTATTTTATTTTATTTATTTATTTTTGAGACAGAGTCTGGCTCTGTCGCCCAGGCTGGAGTGCAGTGGCCAGATCTCAGCTCACTGCAAGCTCCGCCTCCCGGATTTACGCCATTCTCCTGCCTCAGCCTCCCGAGTAGCTGGGACTACAGGCGTCCGCCACCTCACCCGGCTAGTTTTTTGTATTTTTTAGTAGAGATGGGGCTTCACCATGTTAGCCAGGATGGTCTCGATCTCCTGACCTCGTGATCCACCCGTCTCGGCCTCCCAAAGTGCTGGGATTACAGGCTTGAGCCACCATGCCCGGCCGCTGTTGCTATTATTTATGATCATGATTATATAATGGTTTTGTTTTTTGAGCCATCGCACCCGGCCTGTATGTTTCTAACCTTCACAACAACCCCAATGTAAATACCAGCTGTTTTGAATCCTTCAGCCTGTGCCACATAAGCAGAGACCCAAAAACATTGTGTGACCTCAGTTCAAGGTCCAGAACTTTGGCCCGCCCCTAACCTCCTGCGGGTCTATGGATTTTTTTTTTTTTTTTTTTTTTTTTTTTGAGACGAAGTCTTGGTTTATCACCTAGACTTCCAGGCTGGAGTGCAATGGCATGATCTCGGCTCACTGCAACTTTCACCTCCTGGGTTCAAGCGATTCTCCTATCTCAGCCTCCCCAGTAGCTGGGATTACATACATACATTACCACGCCCGGCTAATTTTTCTGTTTTTGGTATAGACGGGATTTCACCATGTTGGCCTGGCTGGTCGTGAATTCCTGACCTCAAAGTGCTGGGATTACAGGTTTGAGCTACCACGCCCGGCAGGGCCTACGGATATTAGCATAGCCAGGACTTCAATTTTCTCTATTATGAGAGTCAGGCTAACAAAGGAGAAGGTAAAATCACCACGGTGCTCAAGCACTGGGGGCCTGGCACACACCCGGCGCCCAGCATGCCCACAGGAGTGGTCTGCACGGCTTCTAAGCTTCCTTCTTAGAACTCCAATCTAATCAATGAGCTAACTCTGCCCCAGCCCCTCAGTCCCTCCCTGCAATCCGTCTACCTCTGCAGACATCTTCTTCCAAGGAACCTCGCCTGGGAGACCCACATCTGAGATAGCCATCGCGGCGTCTAGAGCCGACGTGCGTGTCGCTTCTTTATACTGCCAGAGCCCCGCCTCGCTTGGCCTTTAAATTTAGTGGGCGGAGAGAGGCGGGCCTCAGGCCAGGCCACATCCCGATCAGCCACGTCCATCCCCCTGATTACTGGGCCCTCCCAGTCCCTGGGCGCACTTCCCGGATCCCTCCCACGAGGGGGCGGGCTGTGGTTAAATCTCCCGCCAGGTCGGCGGCCGGGCGCTGATTGGCCCCAGGGCAGCGGGACCGACTCGTGATTGGCCAGCACGCCGTGGTTTAAAGCGGGTGGCGCGGGAACCAGGGACTTACTGCGGGACCGCGGTGGAGAACCCTTGGATCCGTGAACTTCCCGGAGGCGCCATGAGTTGCATTAACCTGCCCACCGTGCTGCCCGGCTCTCCCAGCAAGACCCGGGGGCAGATCCAGGTGCGGGGGTCAGCCCTGCGCGTGACTGGGGATGAGGGGGTCGTGGTGATAGCCTGTGCCCCGGCATCCGCGCAGGGCGGACCCCTAAATGACCTCATCTTCTCTCCTAGGTGATTCTCGGGCCGATGTTCTCAGGAAAAAGGTAATGGCTTCGCGGGGCTGGGGTGGATCTCCTTCTTCTTCTCCGGGGACCCCTGTCCCTTCCCTTCCCCTAGAGGGACCAGCACAGCTTCCCACAGCTCCCGCCCGGGATTCTCCTCCTCCCTTGAATTCGGTCCAGGAGGAAGTCTCCGCCCCCTTCTGCCCCGGCCAAGCCCCTCCTCCTGTGTGGACGCCACTCCCTCCTGGAGCTGGTCACAGCTGGTTACAGCTTAGCACTCCTCCCCACCAAGTCCTCTGAGAAGGTGGCAACTAGTTGTGTCCACTGTGGGCCAGGCCTTTTTGTACACCCCTATTCAATGTGGCTGTTTCCTTATAAGGCCAAGGAAACACAGTCGCTTTCTGCACCAAGGAGTCTGAAGCCGTGGAGCCTCTGCTCTCCTGAGGTGACAGAATCATTCCCTGACCCAGGTGGGGCTAGTTAGTGAGTTTCCTGAGTAAACTACCCACCCACCATTCTTTTTGTTTTGTTTTGTTCTTGTAGAGATAGGATCTTGCTTTGTTGCCCAGGCTGGTCTCAAACTCCTGGGCTCAAGCAATTCTCTCACCTCAGCCTCCCAAGTAGCTGGGACTACAGGCGTGCACCCCCTACCCAGCTAATTTTATTTTATTTTTGTAGAGCTGGGGTCTTGCTATGTTGCCCAAGCCGGTCTTGAACTCCTGGTCTCAGGCGATCCTCCTGCTTCGGCCTCCCAAAGTGCTGGGATTACAGACGTTAGCCACCATGCCCTGCCCCAACATTATTTTATGGCCCTGGGGATCACTTCAGCTCAAACTCCTTGCTCAGGATGATGAGGCTTAGATTTGGACTTCCTGGATGCAGAAGCAAGTGCTTTTGACACTGCACACAAAGGCTTTCTGAAATTAATTTAGAGAAGCTCTATGCCGGGCGTGGTGGCCCACGCCTTTAATCCCAGCACTTTGGATTGCTGAGGTGCGTTGATCACTTGAGGTTAGGAGTTTGAGACCACCCTGGTCAATATGGTGAAACCACGTCTCTACTGAAAAAAAGAAAAACAAAAATTATCTGGGCGTGGTGGGAGGCTCCTGTAATCCCAGCTACTTGGGAGGTTGAGGCAGGAGAATCTCTTGAACCCGGAAGGCAGGGGTTGCAGTGAGCTGAGATTGCGCTAATGCACTCTAACCTAGGCCACATAGCGAGACTCTATCTCAAAAAAAAGAAAGAAAAGAAAAAAGAAAAGCTCTGAACTCTGGGAACAACTCTGGAATGAGGTTACTTTGGAATGCAGTCGCAGGTCCCCCTCTACATGTAGCCTTTGCCTCTGCCTTCCCCATTACATCCTGGAGGTTACTCCTCCCACACTTCCTGGGACCACCTGAGTACCATTCCTGGACCTCTTCCCCATAGAGAATTCTGACTTCCAACCCTCTTTGTAGGAATATTACACCCTGCCTGCTCTGCCCTGCTCTTTTCCGGCTGTGGTGGGCTCAGTCTGCAGAACACTAGGGGCTATGAGGAGCCAGGCTTATCGGGGAGGGTTCTCCTCCCACTCCTCCCGCTGTGGACCTCACCTGACCCTCTCTCCTCTTGCAGCACAGAGTTGATGAGACGTGTCCGTCGCTTCCAGGTTGCTCAATACAAGTGCCTGGTGATCAAGTATGCCAAAGACACTCGCTACAGCAGCAGCTTCTGCACACACGACCGGTCAGTCCCTGCCCCTTGCAGTCCTGTCCAGTGGAAAATCACAAGGCACAGGACACACTGTTAGAACTGTCTTTAGTGGGGATAGTTAATCACGCTGACCTGGCATTGAACGATTCAAATCGGCACACTTTCCAAGGTGCTTGGCAAGGCAGCGCACACTCTCCATTCCCTGGGCTGGAGCCAGTGGTTCTCCACTGCGGGTGATTTTGCCCCCAGGGTCCATTTGACAATGTCTGAAGACGTTTCTAGTTGTTGCGACTGGAGAGGGGAGGGGGTGCTACTGGGCTTTCATGTGTAGAGATCAGGGACACCGCTGCTAAGGGTCCTGCGGTGCACAGGACGGCCCCCATGCAAGAATGAGCTGACCCCGAATGTCAGGAACCTGCCAACATTCAGAAACTCTGCTGTAGGGAATCAGCTTCACACAGGCTGCAAACTGGTTTGATTTGGCCTGCACACAGATTTTTGTTTAATTTTTTAGTTGTCCATTGTTGGCTGGGTCCTGGTCACCTGGCAGCCTTCACGCTGCCTCTTTTTATGTGTAGCTATTTGAGATCGCTGGACATTTCCACCTGCAACCTCAGGTTGGGAGTTAAATTCACTTCCTTGGCAGCAGATGTGGGCCTGATGTTTCTGAGCCTGAGACGCTTTGCTTGGTCCACTGGACTTGTCCACCTGGGCACCCAGTGGCAAAGCCATGCTGTGCCACACATTATAGAGCTGGCGGCCACAGAGCCCTTGCTGGGAGCTGTATCTGAGAGTTGCTACAGCTGTGCAGAGAATGCATCCACCCGGCATGTGGCCTTCGGTGGGAGCTGAGGGGCTCCTGAAGCCAGACAGTGGTGGAGTGGAGGGTGCTTGGGGCTTGGAGTTGCGTGTGGGGATTTAACCGTACTTCCTGGCCATGCTGTCTGATGTAGGTCATTTACTTTTCCAAATTTGCTTCCTCATTCCTAAGATGCGATGTCCACAGCACAAGGTGGTGTTACACCTGGCGGGGACAGGGAAAGCAGAGGAGGTCACTCCGTTCCAGCTGTTGGAAGTACAACTTCTGGAGTCAGTCAGATCCAGGATTAAATATGAGCTCTGCCTGTGTGTCACAAGTCATTTCTAACACGGGTCACAGAGACCAAAGCTGGGCCAGCAGGATTGACAGCTCCAGAGAGGCTGCCCTTGCAGGGCCCACAACTGGCCTCCCACCTGCCCTCACTTTGTCTTTCTCTGTTTAGGGAGGGAAGAGGGAATTTTAAATGCATAAAATACTATTTTACACGTTTTTTCCAGAACTTGAAGTAGGATTATAGCAAGGTAATAATGAAACAATAGTTGTAAAATGTTGTTTTTTTGTTTGTTTGTTTTTGAGACAGGGTCTCTCTCTGTCACCCAGGCTGGAGTGCAGTGGTTCAATCATAGCTTACTATTATGTGACCCCAAACCCTTGGGCTCAAGTGATCCTCCCACCTCAGTCCCCTGAGTAGGCGGTACTACAGGTGCACACCACCACACACAGCTGATTTTTAGATTTTTTGTCACATAGTGTCTCGCTGGTCTCGACCCAGGCTGGTCTTGAACTCCTGAGTTCAAATGATCCTCCCGTCTTGGCCTCCCCGAAGTGCTAAGATTACAGGCATGAGCTGCTGTGTCTGGCCAGAATACAGGATTTCAAAAATTTATATTTTGTAACATAATTGATATAAAGACAAATATAACCCAGGCCCAGTTCTAGTTATTCATTCTTCTGAGTTTTAAAAGGAAACTTGGCTGACCCCTAATGGTATCATGGGCCCTGGTAACTGATGAAGTTGGCCTTGTCTGCCGAACAGTGGAAGAGTTTTTAGTCTCGTTGAGCTTTGTATGGGACATTACTAATTTCTAATCCAAAACATCAAGTGAAGTGGCTTGTATAAATAACTGGTTTTCCTCTGGGAGGTTAAGGCGGGTGGATCACTTAAAAGTTAGGAGTTTGAGACCAGCCTGGCCAACATGGTGAAACCCCATCTCTGCTAAAAATGCAAAAAGTAGCTGGGTGTGATGGTGTGTGCCTGTAGTCCCAGCTACTCTTGAGGCTGAGGTGGGAGAATCGCTTGAGCCCCTTGAGAATTGGGAGGTGGAGATAGCAGCGAGCCAAGATGGCGCCACTGCACTCCAGCCTGGGCGGCAGAGCAAGACTCTGTCTCAAAAAATAAATAAATAACTGGTTTTCTGAACGAGGGCCTTTCCCATAGGTGCTAACTTCTCAAAGCCCGGCTGGGTGAACACTGAGCCTGCTTTGCAGGTAGCGGGTGGTTGCGACAGTGCCATTCCCTGGCCTCTGCATTCTGGCTTCTGGCCTCCCTGTGCCTGCTCACGCTCTGGCTTTCTCTTCCCAGGAACACCATGGAGGCGCTGCCCGCCTGCCTGCTCCGAGACGCGGCCCAGGAGGCCCTGGGCGTGGCTGTCATAGGCATCGACGAGGGGCAGTTTGTAAGTCGGCTTGTCCTGGTATCACTCTTCCTGACAGCTCCCGCTCTGTCCTCCGTTTTCCGCCGCTGACTTGGAGGTTATCTGATCTTTTAGTAAAATAACAAGGTTAAATAGCTACAACTAGTGTTGGAATACCCTCTGAAGGCCCCCTTCTAGTTTCCCTGTCATAGTCATGTAGGATTCATTTTACCTTTTTTTTTTTTTGAGATAGAGTTTCACTCTTGTTGCCCAGACTGGAGGGCAATGGCACCATCTCACTGCAAACGTCGCTTCCCGGGTTCAAGCAATTCTGTCTTGTCTCGGCCTCCCAAGTAGCTGCGATTACAGGCAGGCGCCAGCACGCCCAGCTCATTTTATATTTTTAGTAGAGACAGGGTTTCTCCATGTTGGTCAAGCTGGTCTCAAACTCCCAACCTCAGGTGATCCACCCCCCCTCGGACTCCCAAAGCCCTGGGATTACAGGTGTGACTTACCGCATCTGGCCATTTTACTTTTATAAAAAATATATATCTATTTTCTGGCAAGAAGCAGTGACTCACACCTGTAATCTCAGCCTTTGGGAGGCCAAGGTGGACAGATCGCTTGAGCTCAGGAGTTGGAGACTCACCTGGGCAACATAATAAAACTCCATCTCTCCAAAAAAAAAAAAAAAAAATCGCCCGTCATAGCAGCGCACACCTGTGATCCCTGCTACTCAGAAGGGTGAGGCAGAAGGATGGAGCCTGGGAGGTTGAGGCTACAGTGAGTAGTGATAGCGCCACTCCACTCCAGCCTGGGCGACAAGGCCAGACCCTGTCTCAAAAAAAAAAAAAAAAGGAAGGTGGGGAGTAGTGTTCGGTTTGCCTCATGGTTCCTTTCGCTTGTTTCTTATACGTTTATCTTCTTCTTGTTGAAGTACATTTTTTAGTAGTTTTTGCAGCCAGGATGTATAGATGGGAATCTGCCAGGCTTTGTATGGAAATCTTTCTTTTGTCCTCTAGTTTAAGCTGGGCAGCAAGGGATAGGTTGATTTTGTGTAGTTTTGTTTTGTTTTTTTTTTTGAGACGGAGTCTTACTCTGTCACCCAGGCTGGAGTGCAATGGCACGATCTCAGCTCACTGCAACCTCTGCCTCCCGGATTCAAGCGATTCTCCCACCTCAGCCTCCCAAGTAGCTGGAATTACAGGCACCCACCATCGTGTGTGGCCAATTTTTGTAGAGATGATGGTTCACCATGTTGGCCAGGCTGGTCTTGAACTCCTGACCCTAGGTGATCCACCCGCCTTGGCTTCCCAAAGTGTTGTGATTACAGGCGTGAGCCACCACGCCCAGCCTTTTTTATGAGATGGAGTGTCTTGCTCTGTTGCCCTGGTTGGAGTGTATTGACATGATCTTAGCTCACAGCAATTCCCGCCTTCTGGGTTCAAGCAATTATCCTGCCTCAGCCTCCTGAGTAGCTGGGATCACAGGTGCGCACCACCATGCCCAGCTCATTTTTGTATTTTTAGTAGAGATGGGGTTTCACCCTGTTGGCCAGGCTGGTCTGGAACTCCTGACCTCAGGTGATCCACCTGCCTTGGCCTCCCAAATTGCTGGGATTACAGGCGTGAGCCACCACGCCCAGCCTTGATCTTGTTGCTTTGAAGAGTAGCAGCGCTGGTCGTTGTGTTTGTGCTCAGGGGAAGGCTGCCATCTCTCTAATGTTACCTCTGGTCAGGTATTCTATCTGTTCTCTCTCAGCACAATGAGTCTAGGGTAAGCTTTGTTTTCGTTTATCCTGCTTTATAGCTGGTGTGCCTTTTCATTTCTGGGGAAGGAATGAAGCCATTATCACTTCAGGGCTTTCTCTCCTCATCACTCTGAGGTGTTCTGGGTTCCATCTTCCAAAGTGTTTTGTTCCAATGACTATTTTTATATCTGCTGCTCTAATTCATCATCCTCCGTTTTGACAAGTTACTGTTGGGTTATTTTTAAATTTATGCTGTTCCTTCCGTTATGTTTCTGAAAATTTTTTCTTAGACTTTTCCAGATTTTTCTATTTCCTCAGGAACACATTCTGCAGTTGAGTTTCTGGGTTATTTTCTGTTATCTTAGTTTTTCTTTCTCTGCTTTGGAGTTTTTTATTTTTGTTAGTTTATCACAAATGAATGAAACTGAAACTGTCTCCAAGGGGCTCAGCAGACTTGACCTCTTAGGTACTTTTAGGGTTGCCTCGAAGTACACAATGTGGTGGTTTGATATAAACATAACAGGAATTTATTTCTCGCTCACAGACCCCTACGTGGTTCCAAGCCGGTTGACGGGGAGGCCGCCACGAGGCGGCTTAGGTCACCCTGGCTGGCTGTGTACAGACACGGAAGGGGAGAGGCATGGCGGAGCCCCATGCTGTGAGGTTTTCATGGGCCAGGCCAGAAGCTGCAAATGTCACCTCTGCTGATCTTTCAAAGACTAGAACCTGGGCACAGGGCCACCTATACGTTTAGTATACGTAGTCCAGTTCTCTTTTTGTTTGTTTTTGAAACAGAGTCTCGCTCTGTGGCCCAGGCTGGAGTGCAGTGGCGCAATCTCCGCTCACTGCAACCTCCATCTCCCAGGTTCAAGTGATTCTCCCGCCTCAGCCTCCCGAGTAGCTGGGATTACAGGCTCCTGCCACCATGCCCGGCTAATCTTTTGTATTTTTAGTAGAGACGGGGTTTCGCCATGTTGACCAGGGTGGTCTCAAACTCCTGACCTCAGGTGATCCTCCTGCCTCAGCCTCCCAAAGTGCTGTGATTACAGGCGTGAGCCACCGCGCCTGGCCACACTTAGTCTAGTTCTATACCCTGGACTGTACATTTAGTCTAGTTCTCTACCCTGGAGGAAGAATACAGGAGTTTGTTGGTGAGTACTTCGAGATCTCTAGCCACCTTGCCTCCCAACACAGAGCCAGGCTGCTCCGGCTGGAACACCCTGCCCGGACATCACAGGGCCTGTACCCCCTGCAGGCCAGTCCTGCCTTCCTGGTTCTGTTCTTGCCCAACATTCTGTATGAGTCACAGCTGTAAATTCCATTCCCATGGGGAGGCTGATGGGCCCTTCCCCTGAGCAGGGCATCTGCCCTGTGGAGTTGAGGGACTCACTCCAGGCTGCCAGTGTCCACTCTGGGTCCCCGACCACCCGGCAGCTGGCATCTCCCTGCCTGGGTGTGCCCATTCCGTTTCTGACCTTCAGAGGTGCGCCTCGGAGCACCCCCCTGCCTCTGCGTACATGGAGACGTTGTTGTTGCTGCGCCGTGGTTGAGGGACTCCAGGCGAGAAAGTGAGCCCAGGCTGGGAACAGGGCTGCAGCTGTTCTCTTCTGTTGTCAAACCGTGGCCTCGGAATGCATCCATGGGTTTTGCATCAGCTTTGGGGACGTGGCCCTCTCAAAACAAGGAAGCTTCAGCTTTGGCAAGGCTCTCCCTCCTTCAGACCTGCCGCTGTGAGTGGTTCAATAGCTCTGTTCTCCTGGCTCTGGGTAAACCTTGTTGACAGAGGCTGACCCAGACCTTCCAGACAGAAACCTTTTCCTTCTCCTTCCTCCTTCCTTCACATCCAAATGCCCCGAGTCAGGAACCAGCGTATTAAGTCCCGTCCCCTGTTCAGGCTATAGGAGGGATTTCTCGGTCTACTTCCTCCCTGGCCAGCGAGTAAAACTTGAGTTCATTCAGTGAGTATTTATTACACCCTCTCCAGACATCAGCATTCTGCCCTGGCCTCTGTGTGCCCTTGTTCTCTTCAAGAAGTTCAAGGTCACCAGCCTGACCAACCTGGAGAAACCCCGTCTCTACTAAAAATACACAATTAGCCGGGCGTGGTGGCGCATGCCTGTAATCCCAGCTACTCGGGAGGCTGAGGCAGGAGAACCGCTTGAACCCGCGAGGTGGAGGTTGCGGTGAGCCGAGATTGCGCCACTGCACTCCAGCCTGGGCAGCAACAAGAGCAAAACTCTGTCTCAAAAAACAAAAAAAAAGGAAGTTCAGGGTCTTCCCATTGCAAGCAGTACTAGATGGAGGAGAGGGGTTCCCAGCACGGGACCCAGCAGAAGGACTGTCCTTCGTTCTTTCATCGTCTACCTGGACAGTGGCTGAAGCCCAGCCTAACCTGCCTTGTTTCTGTTTTCTGGGTCAGCAGGGAAAGCCTCTCACAGAATAGCCACTGTGCCATCCTGAGGACGGCCCTGGGTCAGAAGCCCTGGGTCAGAAGCTCCTGTGCTTCTTTGTACCCCGCGAGAGACACAGAGGTGCCCACACTGCTTTGTAGAAACTCTTGGCATCCAAGAGAGATTCACCTGGAAAACCTGAAGCTACTGGCTGGGGGTGCTGTGCTTCAGATGCTGGTGGTGGGTGGGAACCCTGGCCCCCGTGCCACCCCCATGTGCTCATCAACAGCTGCACAGTGTGTGGCGGGCTCGCAGGGTTGCTTCGCAATAGTAGGAGCTCTGATTTATTTTTTTTAACTTTTTTTCTGGCTGGGCACGGTGGCTCACGCCTGTAATCCCAGCACTTTGGGAGGCCGAGGCGGGCGGATCACTTGAGGTCAGGAGTTTGAGACCAGCCGGGCCAACATAGTGAAACCCCATCTCTACTAAAAATACAAAAATTAGCCAGGCGTGGTGGCACCCACCTGTAATTCCAGCTATTTGGGAGGCAGAGGCACGAGAATTGCTTGAACCTGGGAGGCAGAGGTTGCAGTGAGCCAAGATCATGCCACTGCACTCCCGCCTGGATGACAAGAGTATGACTCTGTCTCAAAAAAAAAAAAAAACCTTTTCGTGTGTTCTGTTCTACTACACAAGTAACACAGGTTGAGTATTCCTTATCCCAAATGCCTGGGACCAGAAGTGTTTCGGATTTCAGGTTTTGGAATATTTGCATGTTCATAATATAATGAGAGCTTGGGAATGAGCCCCAAGTGTAAACACGAAATCCATTTATGTTTTATAGACATCTTATGCACAAAGTCTGAGAGTAATTTTATATATTTTGTAATTTGGGCGTGAACCACAGTTTTGACAGTGACCTGTCCCATGAGGTCAGGTGTGCCATTTTCCACTTGTGGTGGGCGCTTGAAAAGTTTCAGATTTTGGAGCCCTTCGGGTTAGAGATGTGCAACCTATAATAAGTTTAATCTGGCCGGGCGCAGTGGCTCACATCTGTAATCCCAGCACTTTGGGAGGCCAAGGCGGGCAGATCACGAGGTCAGGAGATCCAGACCATCCTGGCTAACACAGTGAAACCCCGTCTCTACTAAAAGTACAAAAAATTAGCCGGGTGTGGTGGTGGGCTCCTGTAGTCCCAGCTACCCTGGAGGCTGAGGCAGGAGAATGGCATGAACCCGAGAGGCGAAGCTTGCAGTGAGCCAAGATCGTGCCACTGCACTCCAGCCTGGGCGACAGAGCGAGACTCCATCTCACAAAAAGCAAGTTCATAATTTATATAAGTTACCACAGCCCAAGTCTCCTAAGCCAGAGACCACTAAGAACACCCCTTGAGTTGAACAACTTTGGTTTATTTATTTAGAGACAGGCTCTCTGTGTTGCTCAGGCTCAACTGCAATGGCGTGATCTCAGCTCACTGCAACTTCTGCCTCCTGGGTTCAAGCAATTCTTGTGCCTCAGCCTCTCAAGTAGCTGGGATTACAGGCATGCGTTGCCATGCCCAGCTAATTTTTGTATTTTTAGTAGAGACAGGATTTCACCATGTTGGCCAGGCTGGTCTTGAACTCCTGACCTCAGGTGATCTGCCCGCCTCGGCCTCCCAAAGTGCTGGGATTACAGGTGTGAGCTACTGCACCCGGCCAAAGTTTTATTTCACATGTACTCTTTATTTCCTGGGACTGCCATAGCACAGTACCACAGGCTGGGAAAGGGAGCAACAGAGACATCCTCTCGCAACTTCGGAGGCTGGAAGTCCAAGATCAAGGTGTTGGCAGGGCTGGTTCCTTCTCAGGGCTGCAAGGGAGCGACTGTTTCTTGCTTGTAGGTGACGTCTTCTCTTTGTCTTCACGTTGTTCTCATTCTGTGTGTGTCTGTGTCCAGGTTTCCCTTTTTATTATTAAACTTTTTGTTTGTTTGTTTTTATTTTTTGAGACAGAGTCTCACTCTGTCACCCAGGCTAGAGTGCGATGGCACGATCTTGGCTCACTGCAAGCTTCGCCTCCTGGGTTCAAGCAATTCTCCCTCAGCCTCCTGAGCAGCTAGGATTACCGGCATGCGCCCCCAGGCCCGCCTCATTTTTGTATTTTCAGTAGAGACGGGATTTAATCCTTGGCCGGGCTGGTCTCGAACTTCTGACCTCAGGTGATCTAGCCACCTTGGCCTCCCAAAGTGCTGGGATCACAGTTATGAGCCACTGTGATTTCCCTTTTTATAAGGACACTAGTCATTGGATTAGAACCTACCCCCATCACTCCACTTTGTAAGACCTTATCTCCAAATGAGGTCACATTCAGAGATATTCTGGGTTAGGACATCAGCATATGAATTTGGTGGGGTGGGGGACACAATTCAAACCATAATGTCCCCTAAACACAAGGGACAAAACCACCAACAGCAACAGCATGACTACCAGGGCCCACTTTGAAACGTCCCAAACAACTCGGATGCCTCCATCTTTATCTCCAAGGCCCCTGGTTGCCCAGGGACCTCTGCTGGGGTTAGGGTTTAATGCTTACCTGGGAGAGGGGTGGCGTCTGCACTGGACGGGGGAGGAAGTGCCAGGTGGAGGGGGGCTGAGGACCTTCCTCCGTCCTGAAACCCTGAGGTGGGAGAGTCTGGGGTCTGCCTTCTACCCTCATGTGGAGGGTTAAGGAGCAAAGTTCTCAACTCAGGAGGGTTTTTCCCCTCTCGATTCCCACCCAGGGGACATTTCACAACAACTAGAAACAATTTTGTCACAACTGGGGGAAGGGAGGCATGCTCCTGGCATCTATCTAATGGGTAGGGGCAAGGGACGCAGCTAACACCCTACAGTGCACAGGACACAGCGAGATCCAGCCTCAAATGGCAGCGATGGCAGCGTCAGCCCTCCAGGGGGCAAGCCCCTGGTGCAGGAGGTGTGCTGGCCCACAGCTCCTTGCAGGCTGGGAGCTGCATTTTTTTGACATGTGTTGAGTCCTCAGAGAAAAAGAGGGAATGAGTGCATGGCGGGGAGGGGCCCCAGCGTGCTGGAGTCTCTGGATTTCCTTCTCTAGAGGCCCCTGCAGTCAGCTGAGCACAATCAGTCACGTAGGGCTTCATTTGGATCCAACTGGAATTTTTCAAGCCACCCCTTAGTCCTTGCCTTGCTAAGCCCTCAAGTCCCAATAACCTCGAACCTCAGTACCCGGCTGAGAAAGCCTGAGTGGCCCCGAGAAAGAGACCCTGCACCCAAGGACAAGGACATCCCCACTTCACCCAACCCAGAGGCCAGTCTGGACATATGAACTCAACCAGCTAAGAGTGATATGATTGATTGATGAGAATCACCAAAGCACTTGCCAGAGTTTGAGCTTCTCCCTGGGCCAAAGTGAAGTTTGCTTTACGCAGTAAATGTGCTCTGTGCAGGCCCGATACTTAGAAGGCTGTGCTGTGTCATCCTGCTCTGTAAATGGCCAGTAGGACCCCTGCCCCTTCTCAAAGCACATTACCTGTTTAAAAACGGGGAGGCAAGAGCACAAAATACCCACCTATTCACCAAAGAGCCTGTATATAACTTAGGGTCTTCCGTCCTTAAACAACAGGACCTGGCTGGGTGCAGCGTCTCACGCCTATAATCCCTGCACTTTGGGAAGCCGAGGAGGGCGGATCACGAGGTCAGGAGTTTGAGACCAGCCTGACCAACACGGTGAAACCCCGTCTCTACTAAAAATACAAAAATCAGCTGGGCATGGTAGCAGGTGCCTGTAATCCCAGCTACTCAGGAGGCGGAGGCAGGAGAATCGCTTGAACTCAGGAGGCGGAGGTTGCAGTGAGTCGAGATCACACCACTGCCCTCCAGCCTGGGCGAAAGAGTGAAACTCATCTCAAAAAAAAAACAAAAAACAGAACCTTCCTTGCTCTTAGTGAAGAGGAAACAGGTTCAGAGATGTTAATTCATTGCCAAGGTCACACAGATAATGGGTCCAACGAAGAGCGGTGTCCGAGCTCAAGGCAGCAGGCCTTTGACCGCTGCAGTATTAAACAGCACAGCTGGTGTGGAAGTCCGACGCTGAGTCCTGGGGACCTGGACTTGGAGCGGAAGCTGGCTGCAGGGGGAAAGGGCTGCACAGTTGTGGATACGCCTGTCATCTGCTGGGAGGGCACACAGATGGACACAGTCCCCCGGGCTGTGGAGGGGGAAAGGGCTGCGTAGTTGTGGACATGCCTGTTATTGCTGGGAAGGCACACAGAGGGACACAGTCCCCCGGGCTGTGGAGCCTCGTGGGAGAGTTGCTCCAGGCCAAAGGGCCGGAGTTGTCAGATGTGGCAGCATCTTCGCTGGGGATCCAGGGAGCTGCTGCTGGGGTGGAAGCTCACGCTTTCTCCACCTGCCCTTTCCAGTTCCCTGACATCGTGGAGTTCTGCGAGGCCATGGCCAACGCTGGGAAGACTGTAATTGTGGCTGCACTGGATGGGACATTCCAGAGGAAGGTAAGGTGTCTGATCCAGGTCTGGAGCTGGGATCCAGGAGGGGAAGGGGCTTCTGGGGGGTTACACAGACACCAGCTCTGGGTGACCAGGGCTCAGCCACCACAGGGGTATGGCCGAGCTGCTCAGACCAGGCCTTGTCTGAGCCCAGGGACTCCATGGTCTGTGCAGACTGGTTCCATCTGTCTGGCAGGTGCTTTGAATCAGCAGAGGGACAGAGCTGGGCATGGTGCTCTGTGGCTTGGGGGAAGGACTCCGGTCAGAGAAAACTCCTGGCTTTAGTGCTTGTGAATCAGAGGGTTTAAAAGAAAAACCCGCCTGGTGAGGTGGCTGAGCGCCTGCTGTCTTTCCCTGGGAGCACAGCCATTCGGGACCATCCTCAACCTGGTGCCGCTGGCTGAGAGCGTGGTGAAGCTGACCGCGGTGTGCATGGAGTGCTTCCGGGAAGCCGCCTATACCAAGAGGCTCGGCACAGAGAAGGAGGTAGCTCCACCTGCCTTCCCTGCCTTCCCTGCGGCCTGCGGGGTGGGGGTGTGGCTCTGCCTCCTTCCTGTCCTGGCCCTTCACCTGTCCTCTGTCCCTGCCAGGTCGAGGTGATTGGGGGAGCAGACAAGTACCACTCCGTGTGTCGGCTCTGCTACTTCAAGAAGGCCTCAGGCCAGCCTGCCGGGCCGGACAACAAAGAGAACTGCCCAGTGCCAGGAAAGCCAGGGGAGGCCGTGGCTGCCAGGAAGCTCTTTGCCCCACAGCAGATTCTACAATGCAGCCCCGCCAACTGAGAGGCCTGCGAGGGCCGCCCGCTCCCTTCCTGCCGCTGCTGCCCAGCGGACACTGCCCCACATGCTGCCTGGCCACTCCAGGAGGAAGCTGGGAGGCGTGGAGGGTGACCACACCTTGGCCTTCTGGGAAGTCTTTGTGTGGCTGCCCCACCTGCCACATACTCCCTCCTCTCCTACCCACTGGCCTGCTTAAAGCTTCCCTCTCAGCTGCTGGGACGATCACCCAGGCTGGAGCTGGCCCCGCTTGGTGGCCTGGGATCTAGCACACTCCCCCTCTGGGTGAGGGACAGAGCCACACGCTGTTGACATAAGCCTGCTTCTTCCTCTCTGCGGCTTTCACTGCTGAGTTTCTGTTCTTCCTGGGAAGCCTGCACCAGCACCTTTGAGCCTTGGGCCACACTGAGGCTTAGGCCCTTCTTCCTGGGACCAGCTCCTGCCCTCCCCTGAGGATGGCCTGGACTCACGCCCTCTTGCTTCCTTTTGGGCTCAAAGCCCTTCTTACCTCTGTTGATGGTTTCCACAGGAACAACAGCATCTTTCACCAAGATGGGTGGCACCAACCTTGCTGGGACTTGGATCCCAGGGGCTTACCTCTTCAAGTGGGGAGACAGGGCAGGGTCCATGCCTCTGCTGTAGTGTATGAAATTAACTAATTCAAAATTCACTGATTGGTGGATGCACATTTCTCTTTAACCTGGGATTCCCTGGGTCTCATGGACAGCTTCAGCTTGATTTGGGTGGGGATTTTCTTCCAGATCTTTTTGTTTTCTTTTGAGACAGGGTCTCACTCTGCTGCCCAGGCTGGAGTGCAGTGGTGCAATCCCTGCTCACTGCAGCCTCTGCTTCCCCAGTTCAAGTGATTCTCTCCCATTAGCCTCCCAAGTAACCGGTATTACAGGCATGCACCACCACACCTCGCTAATTTTTGCATTTTTAGTAGAGATGAGGTTTCACCATGTTGGCCAGGCTGGTCTTGAACTCCCGGCCTCAAGTGATCCACTTGCCTCGGCCTCCCTAAGTGCTGGGATTACAGACGTGAGGCACTGCGCCTGGCCCCCAGATCTTTTTGTAGTAACACTGATGTCTTAACCACAACCCTTTAACTGAGAAATGGTCATGAGGCGTGTCCTAAGAGGAACATCATCTGCTTCCTGTCTGGGCCAGAGTCAGGACAAAAACGGTGTACAGAGGAGCCTGGGGCCCAGTTGGAAGGATGAGGCAGTGTCCTGTCCGCTGGGCCTGCAAGGTCAGGTTTTGTTTGTGAAACAAACTCTTGGTAATTCAGGAGTCAAGAAGACATCTCTCAGCTGTGCCTCAGAGATGGGCTGTTGGCAGCTCACTTGGGGGCAAGCATCACTGGGGTAAGGTGTGGACTTGGTGCTGTGCCTGAGTGTGCCCTGCGCAGACAGGGTCACCGCTCCCAGGGCCTCCCCAGCCTCCCTCTCCCCTTCGCTAGTGATGTCCCAAGCCAAAGCCATTGGGTGAGGCTGGGAGCAGCACCCTGTTAGTTTGTACTGGGGATTTTTAAACAATAGGGACTTGCCGATGACAGCTCCGTCACTGCTCAAAAGAGGAAGCCAGGAGTTGCTTCAGGGCCCTGACCTCTTCCAGAGATGGGCCTAATCTCCGAGGGGTGGGCTGGATGGCCAAGGCCACTCCCTGCTGTGTCCCAGGAAGGCTCCAGAGGTGCTGACCCTGGAGTAAGGTAGAAACCTGGTCTTAGCCATGGCACCCCTCATTCAGTGCTGGGAAAGGTTACCGGGAAGGGGCGTTCACCAGCAACTCCCAGGTATCCCCACCCCAACTCGAGGAAGGGAGCAGCAGGACCCTGGCACTGCAGGCCAGAAAAATCTTGTTTACAGGCTGAGCACAGTTACTATTTTAAGATGATGAAAGGCTTGTGCGGAATGCGACCCCAGATAGAGGGAAGGGGGCCAGCCAGGCAGGCTGGAGGGGGCGGACTGCCACTGCCTTGTTCAAAATACAAGTTCCATAAAGCCAGCCCCTAAGGGTGTACCCAGAGGGGAGTCTTCCTCCAACCCCTAGGCTGTGGCTCAACCAATGACTGGAGACTGAATGAGAAAACATTTATTCTGTCTCCAAACAGCATCCCAGGGCCGGGTATCTCCCCCAAGGCTTTATAATACATTCGGCACAGACGGTCTGGGAGCCATGGAGCACCCCTGCCCTCCCCATGCTTCCTAAGTAACAACTGCAGAATATTTACATAAAGCTGGGTGTTGTCAGGCAAAGCCCTTCCCTGCTGCCAGGGGTGGGAGCAAGGAGGAAGTGCCGTGAGCACCAGCCCGCCCTCACGCCATGGGAGGCAGCCCAGAGGCCACCGGCACAGGGTGGCAGCCCCCAGATCATACAGCAGTGGGCACAGCGGAAGCAAACCTGAGTGAGGACACAAGAGCCTGGTCCAGCTCCGCTGCACAGGGCAGGTGTGATGGCCCCCACGAGTCTTTGGCAGAGAACGCAGATAACAGCAGCTCCCACAGCCCGACCCAGGCCAGGGGAAGCTGAGGCACTTGTCAGCAGCACGTGGGTGCCTGCTGGCTTCTAGCCACTCCAGGCGGGGCTGGGGTCGTTAAAAGCAAGGAAAACACTAGCTAAAAACCCTTTCCTAAAAGTGCCCTGGAGGAGTGAGTGGTTGACTGAAGCCCTCCGGGCACAGGCACTGTGTGGCTCTGCCAGCCCCCGCTAGGCTGGGAGGCTCTTCAGCTGTGTGTCAGCTGCACAGGGTAGAACAGGCGAAAGACGGGGGCTGGCAGTTTCAGGAGGCTCATGGGAAAGTCCAGGGCAGAGGGGAGGGCCCTCTCTGTCCCCCTTCCCACCCTAACTGCTACTCAGTACACAGGGGGCGGCTGGTAGCCCTCGGTGGTCTCCGCATTCTGGGTGAAGGGAGGCTGTTGGTAGTTGTCCACAGATGCACCTGGGTAGGAGGCATAGGCAGTGTTGGGGTCCGGGGTGGGGTCGACGTAGTTCTGGATGAAGTCATCCACACCAGCCTTGTAGCGCTGGTAGGCCAGGGAGGCCAGCACACCCTGCAGGGAGAGCACAGAGGGGTACAGGTTGGTGGGGGACCCCACCTTCTACCACCCTTTACCCAAGACCCCAAGAACCGGCCCCAGGTGGTCCTACCCAGGAGAAGATGGAAAAGAAGCTGAAGGTGATGGCTGCCCTTGCAGAGTCGGCCCCCACCAGCACGTCCTTCGGGTCGGTGGCCGCCCACTGGTTTGTGAGGAAGCAGAAACCAACAAACCACAGGAAGGTCCAGAGAGCTGGGGGAGGATGGGTGGGGTGTCAGTTCCATGGAAAGGGAGGGGCTTTCCAGGACTCTGGGAGGGGACAGGGCAGGTAGGGCAGGGCCTAGACAGGGACCTCCTGGGAGCCTCCACGATATGGAGGGGAGGACTTGGAAGCCGGGCTGGGATCCGCCTTGGCATGGTGGGTCCCAGCAGACAGCCTAGGGGACAAACGGCAGAGGCAAAGCCCATCTGCTCGGGTGTGCTGGGGTTCCACTCAGCTTCTAGCTACCCCAGGCAGGCTGGGGCCATTCAAGCAAGGAGAAACGCTAGCTGAAAACCCTTTCCTAAAAGTGCCCTGGAGGAGTGAGCTGCTCCCTGCCGCTCCCAGAGAGGCCGAGGCCCCCCAGCTGTGGAACCCCCAGAGTTAATGAGTCCCCTTCCTAGACACCTCCCAAGATCAAATGGAGGTGCCACAGGCAGATACCTGAGAAGAGCAGGTCACCAATGACCAGGTACTTGCGGTCAGTGGCGTTGCTGATCTGGGGGAAATATGCGTCGATCACCAAGAAGAAGGCCGAGGCCAGGAAGGCCAGCACCCCGATGGCACTGCCATAGCGGCAGGCATCCTCATTGTGGTTGAATACGCAGTACATCTGCTTAGACTTGTGGGTGTTGCTGTAGCCCTCGCCATAGATGCAGGAGAACACAATCAAGGCGAAGACCTGCCGGGAGGGGAGGACCTGGTAGGGCTGGTGGCCGCCTGAGGGGCACACACGGTGGGGACCCCAGTGGGGTGTACAGACACAGGCCTCTCCCACCACTGCTGCCCCCTTTTGGGTTTTTGTTGTTGTTTTTTGAGATGGAGTCTTGCTCTTGTTGCCCAGGCTGGAGTGCAGTGGTGCGATCTGGGCTCACTGCATTTTCTGCCTCCTGGGTTCAAGCAATTCTGCCTCAGCCTCCCTAGTAGCTGGGATTACAGGTGCCCTCCACCACACCTGCTAATTTTTGTATTTTTATTTATTTTTATTTTTATTATTTTATTTTATTTTATTTTATTTTGAGACGGAGTCTCGCTATGTTGCCCAGGCTGGAGTGCAGTGGTGCAATCTCAGCTCACTGCAAGCTCTGCCTCCCGGGTTCACACCATTCTCCTGCCTCAGCCTCCCGAGTAGCTGGGACTACAGGCGCCCGCCACCACGCCCGGCTAATTTTTTTTTTTTTTGTATTTTAGTAGAGACGGGGTTTCACCGTGTTAGCCAGGATAGTCTCGATCTCCTGACCTCGTGATCCACCCGTCTCAGCCTCCCAAAGTGCTGGGATTACAGGCTTGAGCCACCGCGCCCGGCCAAAATTTGTATTTTTAGTAGAGATAGGGTTTCACCATATTGGCCAGGCTGGTCTGGAACTCCAGACTTCAGGTGATCAGCCCTCCTCGGCCTCCCAAAGTGCTGGGATTACAGGCATGAGCCACCGCGCCTGGCCTGTTGTCCCCTTGTGGAGGCTGGCATGTTAGCCCCTCCAAACTTTGTGGAGGTGAGCTGATGAGCAAAGTGCTTCCTGGCGCACCCCAGGATTAGCATCTGCAGGCACCAGGGGGCCTGCCCCTGGGAATCCTGGACTGAGGAGGGGTGGGGAGTGGGCAGGGACCTCCTAGGTAGGGGCTGCTCCTGCCCCAGCTGCCTGCCTGCAGGAATCATTCTGTTTAGGTACCTGATGGATGAAAGGCAGTCCTTCCACCCCCAGCCCAACCTCACCTTGAAAGAGGTTTAAACAACACAGGCCACCGAGTCACAGAGTCTCACCCAGTCCCCGTCACCTTCAGCCCAAGTCACTTCGACAGCGCCCAGCCTCTGCCTGAACACCTTGGTGAAGGCGGACAGGCCCTCTCGGGAAGGCCATTCCGGCGACCCCGTGTCTTCACCTCCTGGAACCCCCTCTAACCCCTCCGTGGTTGAGCCTGGCCAGCTTTCTCCAGACAAGGACTTCCAGCCTCTGTGGCATCCTGGTCCCTCCGAGTCTGTCTCCCAACCTGCAAAGGGTCCTGCATGCACAGGGCACTACAAGGGGCCTAACTCAGGCCTGTGGATACAGCTTTGAACTCAGACCCCTGGAGGACCCAGGGTGGGTGTAGGGGGGCTCCAGCCCCTTGGGAAGAGCCCATGCCACCTCCCTAAACTTCAAGGCCACCACCCATGCTTGCTCCACCTCAGCAGATGTGGGACAGGTCTCTGGGCATAAGGCTCCCTCTGGGATGGTCCCAGGCCTCTCCCTTGCCAGTCCTGCCCTGCCCTCCCAGGGAGCTCCCTACAGGGCTCTGGAGCTGGCAGTCACAGGCCCCACCCCCAGCTAGAAATGAAGCCGGACCTCCGGGATGATGGGAGCAGGGTGCCCATCCAGGACTCCTGGCACTGTCATCCCGACCCACTGGGCACCTGATTCTTGGACACAGCCCAGGACAGAGGTGGTCAGACCCCATAGCCTGGCTGGGAGCACGTGTGGGCGCCCTGGGGGACCTCAGAAGCTCCAGGCGGTCAGACCCCACAGCCTGGCTGGGAGCGGGTGTGGGCGCCCTGAGGGACCTCAGAAGGCATGGTCTGGGCACAGCAGGTCCACCTCTGCCTGCCCCCTCATGACACCCCCTCCAGCTTTCAGGGCTGGCTGTCCAAGAACAGGCCCCCTCAACACACAAAACCTGGTTTTGGAGGTATTGCCCAGCTTATTGAGAGGGGGTACATCTTGGGGTCCCTCAACTTCGGATGGGAAGGCGGACCCGTGGCCTGCCCCGAGTGGGAAGGAGACCCTGTTTCATGGCGTTGGGTTGCCCCCCGCCCCCTCCCTTATCCCACGTGGCTTCGGAAAGCCCAGTCCCGGTGAACTCCACAAGCTGGGAGTCGCGGCGGCGTGCGGGCCACCTGTTCGGGAGCTGCCCCCAAACTCCTCCCACTGCCAGCGAGGCAGGGGCCCGCTCCCTGCGGAGCCTCGGAACACCCCGCGTCGGGGCGCGGGGCTGGGGGTGGGGTGGGGTGGGTGGCGGGACCCGGGACTGGGAGGAAACAGTGGGACAGACTGTGGAGGGCGGGAAGGCGGGGCCCGGGACGCTGGACGCCGGCCTCGCTCGCCGTCAGGCCCCGGACGTGGCCGCCGCCACCTGTCGCGCTCGTGGGCCAGGGGCCCCGCCGGGCCTGGCGGCAGGGGGGGTCCCCGGAGCGACCCGGCCCGCCCTCCCCGGGCTCACCAAGCACACGGCGCGCGCCACCACCTGCGGCTGCGTCAGGAAGCGCCGCAGGTCGAAGGAGCCGCCCGCCTTGGCCGCGCCGTAGGCCCCGCTCTCCATGTCGCCGTCGCCGTCGCCGCCGCCGCCGCCGCCGCCGCCGCCGCGGAACGCTGAGGAACCTGCCCGGCGCCCCGCCCCGCTCCACCCGCCGGGGGCGTGGCCAGGCACCGCTAGGGACCGAGGGCAAAGTGCGGCCCTCGCGAGCGGCGGCGGGCCGCGGGACTGCGCTTCTAGCGGCTGGGAGGGGCTCTGGCCGCGGAGCACCGGTGTCCACCCTACCTCGGGGTCGAGGGGCTAGTTCCCCAGCCACGCCGGCCGCAGCACGGACCACAAAGGGTAAGAGAGTCCCCCAGGAAAACGGACGAACGGAGGACCACTCACCCTCTTTGCCCCTGCCCTCCCGCCGCCTCCTCTAGGAAGCCCACCACCTACCAAGAACCCACCCAGGCTCATAAGCACCCCCTCCGCCATCCCACTGCAAAACCCAGGTCACACCCTGGAGCCCCCTCCCTGCCTGGCCTGCCACTCTTTCCTCCTCTCTGGGACTAAACCTGGGGTAGGGTCAAAGACCCCCATTCCTCCTGGTCTGGGCAGAGCCCCAAGGCTGTGAAGGGCAGTGTGGCTTCACACTTAAGATGGTGTGCAAGACCGGGCACGGTGGCTCACGCCTGTAATCCCAGCACTTTGGGAGGCCGAGGCAGGTGGGTCACCTGAGGTCAGGAGTTTGACACCAGCCTGGCCAACATGGCAAAACCCCGTCTCTACTAAAAATACAACAACAAAAAATTAGCTGGGCATGGTGGTGAGCGCCTGTAATCCTAGCTACTTGGGAGGCTGAGGCAGGAGAAGTTTTTGAAACTGGGAGGTGGAGGTGGCAGTGAGCTGAGATCAAGCCACTACACTCCAGCCTGGGCAGCAGAGCAAGAGTCCTTCTCAAAACAAACCAACAAACCCAAAAAAACAAAAACAAAAGTTAGCCAGGCGTGGTGGCAGCTACTAGTAATCCCAGCTACTCCAGAGGCTGAGGTGGGAGAATCTCCTGAGTCCAGGAGGCAAAGCTTGCAGTGAACCAAGATCGTGCCTCTGCACCCCAGCCTGGGCGACAGTGTAAGACTCCATATCAAAAATAAATAAATAAATAAAAAAGGCAAGCAAACAGAAACGAAGTTTTCAGGGCGACAGGCAGGGGGCAAAATTTAATCCAGTTCCAGCCCCTTCTCACCTCCATCCCTCTCTACCTCCATCCCAAGAAAAACAGGTACAAAACGTCCCGTGCAGGGAAGACAGGCTCTGTGTGTGTTGGAGGGGGAGCGGAAGTTGTACAGACAGAGGTGTGGGGTCACAGGCTGACTGAGCCCGGAAGAATTCCAGAGCCCCCTTTGCTAACTGCAGGTGCAGATTAACAAGAGCAGGTGTGCCAGGTGGGGCTCAGAGTCCACCCAGGTGAGCTGGTCCACGTGAGAGTTGAACCAGAGGACTGTGCCACCAAGAGGTGGGGTGCCCCTCCAGGGAAGAGGGGAGAAGGTGCGGGGGAGGGGCTGGGCCTTTCCCCAGCGTGCCCCCCTCCCTCTCCCCACACCCGCAGAGATGTGACAGCACCTGAGAGGTGAGGACAAGGCCACAGAGACCCCCTCCTTTCTGTGACCCTCCTCAAGCCCTCACACCAACACTGTCTGCATTTGCTGAAGGTCACCAGGGTTCCAAGAATCCCACGTGGCAGGCTTTTTTCTTTTTTTTAAATAAATGTTTTTGTGTATATTTAAGGTAGACAACCTGCTATTATGGGATTCATATAGAGAGCACAAAGGTTCCTATAGTGAAGCAAGTTAACATATCCACCATCTCTCATAGTTACCCATGTTTTTTGTTTTGTTTTGTTTTTTGACAAGAGTAGCTAAAACACACTCATTTTGCAGGAACTCCAAATACGAACAGTGCACGCCGATGGTCTGCAACCCTCTGTCGTGCGTGGCTCTCTGGACGGTTCATTCTACATGGCTACTGCTTTGCATCTTCTGACCTCCCCATTCCGTGTCCTGAACACCCCAAGCTCCTCTTCACTCACACGGTGGGTGCTCCTATAGGGCAGCAAGGCAAGGATGGGGCGCTCCAGGGGACCTTGCCAGTCCTCCATCTTCTGGTCATGACCTTGATGACAAAGCAGTGGAGACTCAAGTCAGGCAGGCTCATCTCCCAGCCATCTCCTCCCGAGGCGTCTGGGAGTGTTTGTTTGTTTGTTTGTTTTGTTTGTTTGTTTTGAGACAGAGTTTCGCTCTTTTTGCCCAGGCTGGAGTGCAAGGGCGCAATCTCGGCTCACTGCAACCTCCACCTCCCGGGTTTAAGTGATTCACCTGCCTCAGCCTCCTGAGTAGCTGGGATTACAGGCGTGCACCACCACGCCTGGCTAATTTTGTATTTTTAGTAGAGACGGGGTTTCTCCATGTTGGCCAGGATGGTCTCCAACTCCTGACCTCAGGTGATCCACCCGCCTCAGCCTCCCAAAGTGCTGGGATTACAGGCGTGAGCCACCGCGCCCGGCCTGCCTCTGGGAGTTTTATGGTGCCAAGCACATCAATGCCCCAGCAGGAGAGACATGAGGGCTTACTCACCCCACTAAATGAAGGCTGTACCCCATTTTACAGAAGGAAAAACTGAGGCTCAGCAAAGTGACATGGCTCACCCACGAGTCTGGCCTCTGGAAAGGACAGACTTGGCAGAAGTGAGATGGGAGAGTGCCAAGGACAGAGTCCTGGCAGAGCCACGTAAGTGCCTGGGCCACGGCAGAGGATGAGAACCAGGACACAGCAGTGTCTCCCAAACAAAGAGAGGTGAGTTCACAGAGGCAGCGCTGGCCACCACCAAGGCCAGACAGGCAGAGCACACAGGCTGTGGTGCCTGTGCTCAGACACTACAAAGGCCCTGGTCACCTTACATGTCAGTAAAGCCACGGCTTTGGAGAGGGGACCCTGGGAGGCTGGGCCCCAGGCTCTTGCCACCACCTGGGAAAGACTGCCCAATGTGGTTCTTACAGAAGGCAGGAGCTCCTGGTCCACCTTGGTCTCCTGGAGTCATCATCGCTGCATCCCTGCTCAGACCCCATAAAGAACTTAGAGACTGCCCTCCCAGAGGCCAGCAGACTCCATTACAGGGCGACTGGGAGCACTGGCCAGGGTTCGACAACGCCTTGAACGTGTAAGCCTCAGTAGGCATGTGACACACAGTAGGTCCTCATAAACACCTTCGAGTCGTGCATAAGCGGTGACAGCCCTTCTTTGCCCTGGCCAGAGCCCTGCCCTGCAAGCCCCACCACCTGAGCTCCCCAGCCAGAGCCCGGCTGAACCTCTCAGGCCATCAGCAGCTCTCCCTCCTCCCTGCATCCAGCACCCATTTCCTACCTGGCCCACGTGGTCCAGCCCAGCATCCTGGAGGTGACGGCCGCAATGAAGGCGAGGCTGCCAGCCAGCACGATGGTGGGTGCCTTGGGCAACTCTCCTGGGAGCGGGGCGGAGGCAGCTGGGTTGGGCTTCCTTTAGGCAGGGGCCAGGGTGGGCATGGTTGCCTCCTGTGCCCTCTGTGCTCTCGGCAGTGGCCGGGTAGAGCTGTCCCACTTCCCACCGACCTGTGTCTTGGACACTAGCACCCTCCCAGCACAGAAGCGCCAGCTGCCCCTCTGGAAATCCAAGGGCCCTCTCACCTGGGGGCACCAGTGTGAGGGCGCTGTGCTGGACATTGACGCTGTTTGCAGCCTGGCACCGGAACCAGTCCGCTGTCTGGCCCGGCAGGAAGGAGAAGTTGGCAGGCTGCCCGTGGCGTGGTCGCTGCCGCAGGTGGACCTGCCCGTCCTTCCCGACCAGGCTGTAGGTAATGGGTGGGCTGCCCGAGGACGCCTGGCAGGACATCTCCACCCTGGGCCTGACCCTCTGTCCCGCAGAGTGAAGTTGGCCCGCAGCTCCGACACTGGCTCTGGCAGGGTGGGAGAAGGTAGCACAACCATGGCTGAGCAGTCTTAAACCCCTCCTCCTCAGTAAGTTCTCCTCATTCCAAAATGCCTAATGAGCTTAGCTGTGGCTGCAGCCTCCTCCAGGCCGCCTTCTAGAGTTTGCCCTCCATCTTGTGTCTGAGCTGCTACCCTACCTGCCGTGTGCACCACACAATTTCACATTTGGTTTTTATCTTATTTTAACTTTATTTTGAGGCAGGGTCTTGCTTGTTGCCCAGGCTGGAGTGCAATGATGTGATCTAGGCTCACTGCAACCTCTGCCTCCCTGGCTCAAGCAGTTCTCCCATCTCAGCCTCCCGAGTAGCTAGGACTACAGGTGTGCAGAACCACATCCAGCTAACTTTTGCATTTTTTGTAGAGATGAGGTTTCTCTATGTTGGCCAGGCTGGTCTCAAACTCCTGGGCTCAAGCGATCTTCTGCCCTAGCCTCCCGAAGTGCTGGGATTATAGGCGTGAGCCACCATGCCCGGCCTGGTTTTATTCTTATGCAGTATATTTCAGATTGCCAGACTTAGCAAATAAAACTACAGTTAAATTGTAATTTCAGATAAACAATGAATAATTTTTTACTCTATGTATGTCATGTGTAAAATGTACCTGGCAACTCTATCATTCAGTCTCGTCTTTTTTACTGAAAGGCAAGTTACTTCAGGACAAGAACTGTCATGCAGAAGATTCTAGAATCCCCCAGGCTTTGAGCCTAACGCTCTAGTCATTCTTACTGATTAGTAATAACCACCACCCTTGCCACCTACTAAAAGGCTTTCATTTCATAGGTCCCCTGGAGTAGGACCCATTATTATTTTAGAGACAGGGTCTCTGTTGCTCAAGCTAGAGTGCAATGGTGTGATCACAGCTCACTGCAGGCTCCAACTCCTGGGCTCAAATGATCCTCCCACCTCAGCCTCCCAAGTAGCTGGGACCACAGGCATGCACCACCACACCTGATTAATTTTTTTAAAAAATTGCTGTTGGCTGGGTGCAGTGGCTCACGCCTATAATCCCAGCGTTTTAGGAGGCCTAGGTGGGTGGATCACCTGAGGTCAGGAGTTTGAGACCAGCCTGGCCAACATGGTGAAACCCCGTGTCTACTAAAAATACAAAAATTAGTCAGGTGTTGGGGCAAGAGCCTGTAGTCCCAGCTACCTGGGAGGCTGAGGCAGGAGAATTGCTTAAACCTGGGAGGCGGAGGTTGCAGTGAGCCGAGATCGCACCACTGTAGTACAGCCTGGGCGACAGAGCGAGACTCCGTCTCAGAAAAAGAAACTAATTTTTTTGTAGCCATGGAGTCTCACTCTGTGGTCCAGGCTGGTCTCAAACTCTTGGCCTCGAAGGATTCTCCCACCTTGGCCTCCCAAAATGCCGGGAATATAGGCGTGAGTCACCTCACTGGCCTCTTATTATTTTCCTTTTGCAGCTAAAGCAGTTGAAGCTCAGCAGTCCCATGATTTGTTCAAGGCCCCAGCCGGTAAGTGTAGGGATTTGAACCCTGAACGTGTTGGGCTGCAGACCCTGGGCTCATCTCCCCTAGACTGTCTTTTCCTGGTGTTCTTAGGGTGTGGGGCAAAGGATGAACGGGGAGCTTCCTTGTCCCACCCTAAGTCGGCCAACCCTTCCTGGTTCCCATACCCCATAGCTCCCACCAAGAAGGTTACCTGAGTTACTATCAGGATGGAAACAGGAAGAAGGCAGGCTTCGGAGCTGGACAGAGTGGGGTTTGAAAGCAGCCTTGGCCACTTGCCAGCCATGTGGCCTGGGGCGACTTTCTTTCTTTTTTTTTTTTTTTGAGACAGAGTCTTACTCTGTCGCCCAGGCTGGTGTGCAGTGGCACAACCTCGGCTCACTGCAACCATCATCTCCCGGGTTCAAGTGACTCTCTTGCCTCAGCCTCCCGAGTAGCTGGGATTACAGGTACCCGCCACCACACTCAGCTAATTTTTGTATTTCTAGTAGAGATGCAGTTTCACTACGTTGGCCAGACTGGTCTCGAACTCCTGACCTCAAGCGATCCACCCTCATAGGCCTCCCAAAGTGCTGGGATTACAGGTGTGAGCCACCACACCCAGCCCCTGGGGCAACTTTCTTAACTCCCCAGAGCTTTAGCTTCCACAGCTACAGACCCAGAGGCTCAGACCCCACCCCTGACACGGCTGTGAAGATCAAGTGAAGTAATGTACAAAACGTGCCTAACTTTCTTTTCTTTTCTTTTCTTTTGGAGACAGAGTCTCGCTCTGTTACCCAGGCTGGAGTACAGTGGCACAATCTTGTCTCACTGCAGCCTCCGCCTCCTGGGTTTAAGCAATTCTCCTGCCTCAGTCTCCTGAGTAGATGGAACTACAGGTGCACCCCACCACGCCCGGCTAATCTTTGTATTTTTAGTACAAATGGGGTTTCGCCATGTTGCCCAGGCTGGTATCGAATCCCTGGGCTCGAGCGATCATCCTGTCTTGGTCTCCCACAGTGCTGGGATTTGCACCCAGCCAAATGTGCCTAGTTTATCACCTTGAGGTGCGAGATGACAACTGGGGCTCAGTCATTTCTGCCATCCATCAGGCTCTTTCCTTCTGTGCCCTCAGGCCCCTGCCAGGAAACTGTGCCCTCAGGGCCCCAGCCAAGGACAGCAAGTCCTGAGAAAAGGCCCCAGGGGACTGAGAGTGGCCTTGGAGGCGGCAGCCTGTCCTTGTCCGCACCCTCACGTCCTGGCTCTCTCTTACCCCAGCAAGGTTCACAATTCCCACTCCCAGAGCTCCCCACTGATCTGCACCCCACCTGCCTCCTCAGCCCTGTGCCCCCCACCGCACTCACTGGACCACAGCTCCCAGTACATCTGCAGCCTGGCACTGTCCACATGGGCACCTGAGGTGGTGGCCGCCCGGCAGAAGTAGGTGAGCAGGTCTGGACTGGACTTGAGTGTGATGTTGAGGTTGAAAGAGGCCGGCTCGTGGGTCTTCACCACCTTCTTGGCCACCTCGATGTTCTTGGTTCCACAGAGGGAATAGGTGATGGGCGGTGGTGCCTGGGGTGCATGGCACGTTATGAGCACCCGGCGGCCTTTGGGGAAAACTTCCAGGACTTTGTAGGCAATGGAGACCACAGGGGTGATTTCTGGGAGATGAAAAGGTCCAAGGAGGAAGAAAGAACTGACATTGATCAAGCACCTTAAGAAGGTACTGGTTTGGCCAGGTTTGGTGGCACACGCCTGTAATCCCAGCATTTGGGAGGTCCAGGCAGATGGATGACTTGAGGTCAGGAGTTCAAGACCAGTGTAACCAACATGGCGAAAGTCTGGCTCTACTAAAAATACAAAAATTAGCTGGCCATGGTGGTGAGGGAGACTCAGAAAAGGGAAAAAGGATGCTGGATTTAGCATGTTCTCATTTTTTTTTTTTTTTTTAGATGGAGTCTTTCCCTGTCACCCAGGCGCACAGTGGCGTGATCTCTGCTCACCACAACCTCTGCCTCCTGAGTTCAAGCGATTCTCCTGCCTCAGCCTCCCAAGTAGCTGGGACTGCAGGTGCATGCCACCATGCCTGGCTAATTTTTGTATTTTTAGTAGAGACAGGGTTTCACCATGTTGGTCAGACTGGTCTCGAACTCCTGACCTTGTGATCCACCCGCCTCAGCCTCCCAAAGTGCTGGGATTACAGGCATGAGCCACTGCACCTGACCACAATTTAATTCTATAACAAACCTGCACATGTACCCCTGAACCTACAAATTACAAATAAATAAATGAAACCAGTAGACCTCAGAGTAAAGAAAAAAGAAAGAAGAAAATACTGATTTAGTGGTTCCTCAAAAAGTTAAACAGACTTACCATATGACCTAACAATTCCACGCCTAGACATATACCAAATAATAGAAAACAGGGACTCCAGCAGATACCTGTACACACACGCTCATGGCAGCGTGATTCACCACAGCCAAAAGGTGGAAACGGCCCAAATGTCTATGAACGGACGAATGGGTAAATAGAATGTGGTTGAACCGTATAAGGAATATTACTCAGCCTCAGAAAGAAGTGAGCACAGATGCAGGCTGCAGCAGGGATGAGCCGTAACAACATTCCACTAAACAAAAAGGCAGACGCGAAAGGCAACCTTTGCATGATTCCATGTGTGTGCAAAGTTCAGAATAGAAAAACCCACAGAGACAGAAAGCGGACTGGTGGTTACTAGGGCCCAGGGGAGGGGGAAATGGGGAGTAACTGTCTAATAGATAGGGGTTTCCTTTTGGGGTGATGAAGATCTCTTGGAACTAGATAGCGGTGGTGGTTGTGCAACATTGTGAATGCACTAAATGCTGCTGAATTATCACCTCTTTTTTTTTTTTTTTTGAGACAGAGTCTTGCACTGTTGTCTCCCGGGTTCTAGAGATCCTCGTGTCTCAGCCTCCAGAGTAGCTGGGATTACAGGTGCCCGCCACCACACCTGGCTGATTTTTGTATTTTTGATAGGCACGGGGTTTTATCATGTTGGCCAGACTGGTCTTGAACTTGAGACCTCAGGTGATCCGCCCACCTCAGCCTCACAAAGTGCTGGGATTACAGGTGTGACCCACTGCGCCCGGCCCACTTTTATTTATTGATTTAAAGACAGAGTCTTGCTCCATCGTCCAGACTGGAGTGAAGTAGCACGATCTCACCTCACTGCAACCTCTACCTCTTGGTTTCAAGCGATTCTCATGTCTCAGCCTACCAAGTAGCGGGGACTACAGGCACGCACCACCATGCCCGGCTAATTTTTGTATTTTTACTAGAGCCTGGGTTTCACCACGTTGGCCAGGCTAGTCTTGAACTCTTGACCTCAGGGGATCTGCCTGCCTGGGCCTCCCAAAGTGCTGGGATTACAGGCGTGAGCCACTGCAGCTGGCCATTACTGATTCTTTAAGACAGCAATTGGGATTAAACAAAAATGTTTCTGGAATAGGAGTTTGAGGGAGAGGGTTGTATCATACCAATGGTGGGGACCTGTTTGCATTTCAAGAATAGTGTGTAGGCCAGGCGCGGTGGCTCACACCTGTATTCCCAGCACTGGGAGGCCGAGGCGGGCGGATCACCTGAGGTCAAGAGTTCGAGACTAGCCTGGCCAACATGGTGAAACCCTGTCTCTACTAAAAATACAAAACTTAGCTGGGCACGGTGGTACGTGCCTGTAATCCCAGCTACTCAGAAGGCTGAGACCAGAGAATCACTTGAACCCAGGAGACAGAGGTTACAGTGAGCCAATATCTTGCACTGCACTCCAGCATGGGCGACAGAGCAAGACTCTGTCTCAAAAAAAAAAAAAAAAAAAAGAAAGAAAGAAAGAAAGAAAAGAAAGAAAAAGCATAGTGTGTATTGGGTGGGCACAGTAGCTCAGGCCCATAATACCAGCACTTTGGGAGGCCAAGGTGGGAGGATTGCTTGAGCCTAGGGGTTCCAGACCAGCCTGGGCAACATAGTGAGACCCCACCTCTATTTAATCAAAAGAAAAATTAAAAAGAATAAAAGAATACTGTGTGGTTGGGGCAGTGCTTGGGAGAGGGGTAGAAAGAAGGTCTATGAAATCTGAATATCATCGACGTCATGAATCGCCTTTGCTCGGCTGGGCATGTCTGCTCTGGAAACCACCCTGCAGGGAGGAAACTGCTGATTGAGCAGAGAACTGGAACAAACTAGTGTGTGTGACCACTAAGCATGTTTCATTCTAGACCAGTAACTCTCAACCAGGAGCAATTTTGCCTCCAGGGGAACTTTGGGTCTGGGGACATTTTTGGTTGTCAATATTGGGAGGTGGACTAGCTTGGGCAACACAGCAAGATCCCGTCTCTACAAAAAAAAAAAAAAAAATTAGGGGTTGCTGCTGACATTTAGTGGGTAGAGGCCAAGGAGGCCGCTAAGCATCCTATAGTGCACAGTCAGCTCCCACCACGAAGAATGGTCTGGCCTCAAATGTCAGGAGTGCTGAAGTTGACAACTCTGGTCTAGACAACCGGCAGCAGCCTTCTAGAAGCAGGATGTCTTCCCCTGCCCAGGGCTGCACAGACACCAACAATTATTTTCTCATCCATGCCTCTTTGAAAATTTCATGAGAATTCTCCTTTTTATATTTATTTACTTATTTATTTATTTATGTATTTTTGAGACGGAGTCTCACTCCGTTACCCAGGCTGGAGTGCAATGGCTCAATCTCGGCTCACCGCAACCTCCACCTCCCAGTTTCAAGCAATTCTTCTGCTTCAGCCTCTCAAGTAGCTGGGATTACAGGCATGCGTCACCATGCCAGGCTAATTTTGTATTTTTAGTAGAGACGGGGTTTCTCTATGTTGGTTAGGCTGGTCTTGAACACCCGACCTCAGGTGATCTACCTGCCTCAGCCCTCCAAAGTGCTGGGATTACAGGTGTGAGCCACCGGGCCCAGCCTATTTATTTATTGTTTTGAGACGGAGTCTTACTCTGTCGCCCATTCTGCAGTGCAGTGGTGTAATCTTTGCTCACTGCAACCTCCGCCTCCCGGGTTCAAGCGATTCTCCTGCCTCAGCTGCTCAAGGAGCTGGGATTACAGACACACGCCACCACATCTATCTAATTTTTGTATTTTTAGTAGAGATAGGGTTTCACCATGTTGGCAAGACTGGTCTCGAACTCCTGACGTCAGGTGATCCGCCCACCTCAGCCTCCCAAAGTGCTGGGAGTACAGGCGTGAACCACTGCACCCAGCCAGACTCTCCTTTGTAGATGGGGAAGAACACTTTCTTTTTTTTTTTTAAGGCCTGACACAGTGGCTCACGCCTGTAATTCCAGCACTTTGGGAGGCTGAGGAGGGTGAATCGTTTGAAGCCAGGAGTTCAAAACCAGCTTGGGCAACATGGTGAAACCCTGTCTCTATTAAAAATGCACAAATTAGCCAGGCGCGGTGGCTCACGCCTTTAATCCCAGCACTTTGGGAGGCTGAGGTGGGAGGATCATGAGGTCAGGAGATCAAGACCATCCTGGCTAACACAGTGAAACCCCATCTCTACTGAAAATACAAAAAAAATTAGCCGGGCGTGGTGGCGTGCATCTGTAGTCCCAGCTACTTGGGAGGCTGAGGCAGGAGAAGGGTATGAACCCGGGAGGTGGAGCTTGCAGTGAGCCGAGATCGCGCCACTGTACTCCAGCCTAGGTGACAGAGCGAGAGACTCCGTCTCAAAAAAAAAAAAAAAAAAAAAACAAATTAGCCCAGCGTGGTGGCTCGAGCCTGTAGTCCCAACTACTTGGGAGGCTGAGGCATGAGAATCACTTGAACCTGAGAGGTGGAGGCTGCAGCGAGCCGAGATTGCGCTGCTGCACTCCAACCTGGGTGACAGAGACTGTGTCTCAAAAAAAAAAAAAAGAATACTTTTTTTTTTTTTCCAAATAGGCTTTCATGGAAAAATCTTCGACTTGAAGAAAGCAAAGGCGTATTTGGAGGTGAAGGCATCCTCTGAGGCATCCTCTTACAGATGTCTCTGCTGATTGGTCAATTTGACCCTCATGGCCAAGAGGCCTTCTCTTCATAGTCCAAAAACCATCGCGGGGCCAGAAGCCGGCCTCACGTGGGGAAGTGGGAGTCCAAGGCTGACATGTCATCACCCTTTCTTTTTGCTCCCTTTGTGAAGGGAAATGATCTTGACTTATAAAAGTGGAAAGAAAAAAGCTGCTCTCTCTTCATTTTCATTTCAGTCTTCATTAATAGAAGCTTGATTTGCATAAGTTCACAGATGGGAACCATTTTCAAAGTACACTGTACCGGGGACATTCACTTTTTTTTTTTTCTTTTTTTGAGACGGAGTCTCGCTCTGTTGCCCAGGCTGAAGTGCGGTGGCACGATCTGAGTTCACTGCAACATCCGCCTCTTGGGTTCAAGCAATTCTCCTGCCTCAGCCTCCCGAGTAGCTGGGATTACAGGCGTGTGCCACCATGCCTGGCTAATTTTTCACATTTTTAGTAGAGCCGGGGTTTCTCCATGTTGGCCAGGCTGGTCTTGAACTCCTGAGCTCAGGAGATCTGCCCCCCTCAGCCTCCCAGAGGGCTGGGATTATAGTATGAGCCACCACCCCTGGCCGGACATTCACTTTTTATCCTCACAAGACTTGTGTGGTTTTTTCTTTTTGATTATTTAGTTTACGGATAAGCTTGCCAATAAAGGACGGTCTATCATTTTTTTGTAATTTATTTCTTTTTCTTTGAGACAGGGTCTTGCTTTGTCCCCCAGGCCTGAGTGCAGTGGCGCGATCTCAATTCACTGCAACCTCTGCCTCCCTGTTTCAAGTGATTCTCCTGCCTCAACCTCCTGAGTAGCTGGGATTACAGGTGCACGCCACCATGCTTGACTAATTTTTGTATTTTTAGTGGAGATGGGGTTTCACCATGTTGGCCAGGCTGGTATACAACTCCTGACCTCAAGTGATCCACCCACCTCAGCCTTCCAAAGTGCTGGG